TTTTAATTTGAAATAAATATAAACATAATTGAGTTCATGTTTATAATATATAAAATGTAAAAACCAAAGATTTAAATAAAATGTATCACATTTATACAATCTTATTCCATCTTATATAATAAGCTTATATATATGTATAAATATATATAAATATTCAAAAATAAAAAGGTATTACAAAATTACAATAAAAGTCACCATAAACATGAACAATAATTATAGGATTAATATTTAATATACATCAGATATTTTTATAGATAAGATAAATCTTGATCAAAACAAATGTCATTCGTGCAAATTGTATTTAATACACTAACTCAAATAAGAAAACCATTAGATTGATTTGGGTAAGAACGTAAGGTATTGAATACTCAAGTCGTTAATATTTAATTATATTTACGAGTAAACATTTTCTTACATAAATACAGTTAGATAAAGTTACTTCAATTATCAGCTTTTATCTCCTTTACATATAATTATACCTACTTCATATTCATGAAAATTTAAAATCAACAATTGTATACATAATTATACAGGATGTCCCGCGAGGATTCACCCATTGCGGCATCTTTWGAGATAATAAATGGTATATAATAAATCTATTTATTTTTATTAGACTCGCATAGACAAGGCCTACGTGTATTTTGTTTTTTTTATTTTATTTATTTTTTGGTAAAAAAATTTAAAAAAAATATTTTTGATTTTTGAAAAAAATAAAGACATTTATTTTGTAGAATTTATTTTGCTGAAAATCTTGATGTTTCAACATTTTATTTTCATTAATCATATGATTTTTAATATTTTTTTTAGTTTATTGATAAAATGGCAAAAAACTGATTTTTATCCGGGCGGCGAGTTTCCCTCTATGGCTAATTGGTATAATCTAACGGAACACACTAATATACACAATGACTATATACAGTGTGATTCACCATATTTTCAAACTCATGAGATGTGTTTGTACCACTAAAGGTGTCCTGTGACGATATATTTTCAAATCCTAAAAATTAAAATTTGAATGAATTTATTATTTAAGGAAAAAATGGAGGTGAACATTCTTGGTAAATTGTATATATATATGTGCATACTAACACATAAATGCAAAATTAGGTTTTTTATACAGT